AACAACTGCGCAGTACACGTGAATCTGTTTGCCGGTTTTTGTACACAAATTGACCTATAGTTTGTCAAAATCCGCACATTTCTTACAACCTAGGAAAAACATGCAATTAATGTTATTAAATGAGCCCAATATATTATCGACATGCTTCATGACATTTCGCTGCCCTATGTTCGGTGTATTTTTACGTAACCGATGTATGATCGGATTTTATTAAAGTAAACTTTACATATTTCTCCATATTACTGTAGTATAACCAATGGTGCATTTGAAAAATGTAATATTATAGTTGTAATCGTTGTCCAATTTTATTAATTAGTACACACTTATAACAACCAAGAAATAGCATGCAATTAATGTTATGCAATGAGCCCAATACATTACCGACATGCATCATGACATTTAGCCGACCTATGTTTGGTGCATTTTTACGTAACCAATGTATGATCGGTTTCTATGCATGTAAACTATATAATTGAATCCCTATTATGCAAAGATTTTCAATTATGCCTTACAACATTTAAAAAGCTTCGTTGTTAAAAGGTAATTTAAATATATTCTCACCAAGAGTGCTTGTCTCACTCATGTCTTTTATTAAGTTGAATTCTTTGGCGTCGGCATCAGAATCATCACTACCTTCCGATGTATCTGTGTCTGACATTACTTGCTTTCTCTTCATTCCTGAAAATGAAATGCATGCAAAACATTATACCTTTGATATATTAATTGTATTAATTATTGCAGAACACACCTTTTGACCTCAAATTCATACGAGAATTAGTGACGGCCCTCATTTTTATGGCAACATCCTCACTTTGACTGAAGTCATTTGAACTTCCAGGGATGTCTGTAATAAAGTAGGAAAAGGAGAAAACAATAAAAACTTCAATTATGAGAAACGCATGGAAACATGTGGAGTAAAATGTGTGTAATGCACCTTTTTTTCCTATTAGCCTTGGTGATGGAGAAGGACTCTCATCTGCAGCAGTATCCAGTGAATCCTGTACAAAAGGCTCTTCATGCAGTATGATGTCAGCTTCCCTCTCAGAGACTTTTTCACGATGACTTTTTGCTTCAGCATCTTTCATTTAAAAAAAGATTTGAAGAAACAAGGTTATCATGAATATCCTTACACATGTTTTTTTCTATGAGTATAACTGAAATGCACCTCATTAAGATAGAGAATGCCCAGAATTAAACTAACCTTTGCAATCGTGTGACGTAACCAAAGGTTGTGTCCTGGATTTTGCTGTGCCACAATCCGCTGACGTACCTGGGAGTATGCATGTAACGTGTTACAATTAATATACATTAATTGTGCATGTAGTTTATTGTATTCATTTGCATCATTCTAGTCACCTTCTTCTCGTCTAACTGTTGAAGTGGTAGCTTGTTCCAGTGATTCTTTTTCCATGAAATACTTCTTTTTTCTCCATTGCAACAAACCTTTTTTCCTTTTCTCCGTTGCACCCAATGATGTTGTTGCCTCTATACGCACAAAAAGGATTTTCAGTCATAATTAGGAATTAATTGTGAACTTTGTGCGATTCATAATTTGAATATGTATAGAGGAACGACAATCCTTCAAATTATGATTTATGATATACTCTGTATTTATCAATACTTGAAAAAAATTGCATACCTGTACCACCTTCAGACAAAGGCATGTTAAACTTTGTTGGTGCAGTAGGTTTCTTCTTCTCCATTGTGTATCTCAGTGGTGTAAATTCCGTGAATAAATCTTTGCGTAAATCTGCAAAGTCCACAAAAACAAAAAGGTTTAAACAGTTTAATCCGCTCCCAACCCATTCAAATACATGTATTCCATCATAATTGACTCATTCTTGGTTTTACTGTACCTACATCTTATTACATTATACCATATGTAATGCAACTTGTAAATGCTTACCATTTCCCTTTGCGGATTTACACTTGCCACTGATTTCACTTTTCAATTTCTTCTTCCCCTTACGTTCTTCACCATCCAACACGTTTCCGACAGGAACACTTTCACAGAGGTCTAAAAAATAATAATTTATGTAAAATTCCTGATACATTCTCTGACCGTTCCTAACCTTACTGGGTTAGAATTTTTGTAGTTTTCGATGTCGATTTCTTCTTAGGAGCCGAGGAAGTAGTAATAATACGTGCAGTAACTGCAGCTTCATCACATTCTGCAAGTATACAATAATTTGGTAAAAAGAACTTGTTAAGCAACTTAACCGGTTCCTGTATATATTAACGCCAATGATCATTACTTAACACCAACCTAAGTCAGTGTTAACACCTACGTAAGTCGGTGTTACGTATATTCATTGCCGATGTAGTTTTACACCACCAATGTACATTGGTGGTGTAAATTGAGGTTTATAAAATTAGAATAAAAGTGTAAGGCCATCCATTACAAACTTTAACGCTGCTTGCATATAACAGTTAAACTGTTAAAGAATAATTAATTCTGTTTATATGCAAATGAAAAACCTTTGGTTGAGGAAGTTGAGTTTCCGTCTAGCGCATGTACGTCCCAAACCTCCTGTAATGCTTCTGACAAGGTTGATGGGTTATTGCAGTTCTCTTCATTAATCACGATATTATCTAAATGAATGATGTGATAAACATTCAATTATTACAAGATAATGTACATGACAATTTACATTTCTCACCTTTTTCCTTGGACGCTTCCCTTCCGATTTGAGACAGGTGAACATCTTCATGTGGTTGTGACGCTGGCACATCCTGGACACTTTCCAAAGAAGTTCCCTTAAGCACGGTCTCTTCTTCAACAATTCCTTTCATTGAGTCTACGCTGACGACTTCCATGTCGATGTCATCTTCCATCCGTGGTTCATTATCTTGTTCAACTTTGACTATATTCACGCATTCCCGGCAAAGTTCTGTCAAATCTAAACAATAATTTACAGTTATTTTTTTGTCCTTAAATTTTATTTCTCAATTTGATTTTCCATACTCACTGTACTTCTGTATGAGGTATAGGATATTATTGCAAAGCATCACACCTCTCCTCCCTGCTTGATCTTCTGGAACCGATTGAAAATCTTGTAGCATGTCTTCATTTAACTGCAACTCTTTGTTGAGGGTTTCAAATTCCTTTGCATCACTCATTTTTGGTACAACACCCGCAGTCATAACCGTGTGACAAAACAAATTAACAAGGTCTTTTAACGCAGAGAACACTTGAGGCATTTCATTTATTTCACTGATTTTTAGCCTCTCTTCCGAAGGGAATGTTGGAATATCTGTCGTCATTGTATCCGCGGATTTAAAATCACTTTTCTGAAAGGAGAAGGAAGAATATAAACAATTAATGCATGACAAAAAAAGTCTTGTATAATTGGTACGCACGTCAAGAATTTATTAATGTTGTACAAGTCAATATTAACATGTATTCCAGAACGTTATATTCAAAAACAAATAAGAAATAAACCATTGCCATTGAAAAAAGTCACAACGTATTAACAAAATAAGTAAAGATTGAAGCTTTTTCATTGAAGTAACCTAATCCTCCAACAATACTATGATATCGTTGTCGACACTTCCCTCTTCTCTCTCCATCACTGCCTTAGCCCTTTCAGAACATGTTTGACTATCATACACTTCAATTAAGCCCATTTCTTTCAAAATGTAATTTGAAATACTGATTTCTTCGATTTCAGTTGAATCTTCACTTTGACGTCTTCTCTTTTTTGATTTTTGGTTCACTTTCAACATTGCACCCTGTAGTCGTCGTCTCATCCGATTTTCTGCTTCTTCCTGAATGACATCTAGGAGATCACAGGATACTGTGTCTGGTTTGTTCTGCCTGAAAAAAACAGGAATTGTTCACATTCAATGTATTTGATTTTGACTTTGTTCATTCATGTATAACTCACCCACAACCCAACAGATCTGTGACCTTTCCATCCAAGAACTTGATTCTCTCCTGTAGCAAACGTAGTAGATGCACCTCTGTTGGTGACACGTCCTCAGCTAATGCCCAGGCAGCTTCGGTTCTTGCTGGTCTGATGGATAGAAAAGTTGCAGTACTTAATTAAGCAGGTATTAAATCTGTATTTCATAAAAAATCTTCATTTATCTTTTCATAACATGTCTTTTCATATTTTAAAATAAAACATGTTAGACTTACATTTTTTTGAGTTTCAAATCACTGAGCGTTGGGGTTTTTACATGTTTGTTACTCAGCCCACACGCTCTCAAATCCTGTCTTTGCGTCCACTCATCAGGAGTTTGGGTCATCTTTCCAAACAGCCAGTCTTTGTACATAGATGGTTGTAAACTGCGAACAAAAGGTTCCATTGAAAATTGAATGTTTACCGCAGTTCTGAAAACACAAAGTGAATTGCTAATTTTTAACATTCATTTTTAATTTGAGGAAATGGGGGAGTAATTAATAATAGCTGTTTAGCTGTTTATTAAATATATACGGCCGTACTTTTGCAATGAAATAGATTTAACTGTTTTTTCAGTCCTTGGGACGCATGTTACTTTGCCAAAGCTACATTGGCGATATTGATGCTACATGCTTAATATTTGGCCGATGGTATGTCGGGGTCGATGTATGTGTATTTAATAATGCCGATGATATTTAAGCACGACAAATGAGGTATGTCAGGGTAGATGTATGTGTATTTAATAACGCCGATGATATTTAAGCACAGCAAGTAATGAGAAGCAAATAAATGAATGGGAATAAGTGTTTCTGCATTACTGTAAATAAGCAAGTTGAGAAATGTGGATTAAATTTTACTTTGACATTCGCGTTTGAAGTATATAGTGAGAGATCCGCGTCACAGAAAAGTGAGATAACACACAACTCTGGGATTAGAGAACAGAGGGGTTTATTCAGCTTTTCAGAGAGTTAGGATCTTCACAAAATTTATACAAGTAACTGAGTACACTTTTCGAGGCAATTTTTACAAATCAGTTTTCGCGGGCGAAAAGGAGCAATACCGAACGGAGTTTTGAGTTCAAAAAGTTCGCGCGATTTAAGTAGAGGTGACGTCTTCTTCTGCTCCGGGCGGGTCGGCAAGGAGGGCTTCTTCGTCGAAAAGGTCGATGGCGGTGAGGCCGCCCGATTCTTCGAGGTACAGAGCGTCTTCGGCGGCGAGGAGGCTGTCGTCGTCGCAGTCGAGGTCCATTTCTTGGGTGGCGGAGGGAGCTGAGTCGGTTGCGGGACTGGCGGTGGGTCCGGAGCTGAGACTGGGTGAGCGTTCCCTGTAGAGATGTTCTCCTGTAGATATATGAGAATCATTAGCTGTGAGATCAGCGGGTTTGAGTTTTGGGTTAGGGGAAGGTTTAGGCATGTGAAGGCTATGGTAGGGTTGTAATTCCCAAGCATGAGCTTTGCAGAGACCAGTGGGAGTTTTGAGAATATATAGGCCTTGGCCCTGATTAGAGTGAACTTGATATGGACCCAAGCGTTTTGGGAGGAAGCGGCGGTGAGCGGCGTGCCGGAGAGTTGTCGGGAGTCTGGGGAGAATAGTGACGTGTTGCCCAGGAGAGAAGTGTTCATATTTATTTTTGTTGGCTTGCGCGCAGTAAGCTTCCCGAGTTTTAGTGATAGTTTCTTGTATTTTGTCGAGTTTGTGAGATATATTTGGTGGGTTGACATTGTGTTCGATGTCTGCTGGGAGAGGAATAGGTTTGCGTTTGAAAAGATTTACCGGGGAGAGTTGGGTAGTAGAGTGAGGTGTGAAGTTGTAAGCGCGTGTTGCGTCTTCGAGGTGGAGGTCCCAGTTGTGAGGTGTGGGTGTGATTTTAGAGAGGATTTGATTTAAAGTTTTGATAGCGCGTTCGCAGCAACCATTACCTTCAGGGTGTGATGGCTGGGCTATGTGAACTTCAATTTGATTTGCGCGGATGAAGCGCTTGTATGCATTTGAGAAGAAGACTGCGGCCCTGTCGGAGTGGATGAGGTCGCAGGTTCCAATCTGGGAAAAGACGTCGGAGAGGAAGGAACAGAGAGTGTTAGCATTAGCGTTTTTAATGGGTCTTGTGATGAGAAGTTTAGAGAAATGATCGATTGCTACCATTGCGTATCGGTGGCGGCGGGGTGTGAGGGGTAAGGGTCCCCAGAAGTCAATGGCTAGACGTTGGTGTTGGTCAGTTGTGGGGATGGGTGAGATTTTTGTCCCGGTGTGCTTTGTGTTAAAGTTGTGGGCAAAGCAGGGAGCGCATTGCTTAACGAATTTCCACGTAGATTGCCTGAGATGTGGCCATGAGAATCTTTCTTTAAGAACTGAGTAAAGAGTTTTCCAGTTCGCGTGGCCCAGCTGCTCGTGGTATTGTTGGAGAATTTTGAGTTGATCGGGTTCGGTAGGAACTATTTGGAGCGCGTTGAGCGTTATGCGGCTGAGGGCATCGGGGCCGGCAAGGCGGTTGCCGGGGCCGTATTGAAAGGTGTAGTTAAAATACTCGAGTTTGAGAAGGAGGCGGAGGAGGCGAGAGTCTTTGAGGTCGCCGAGGAGAGCTTTATGGTCTGTAAAAATGGTGAAGGGGCGGTATTCGAGATAATGGCGGAATTTTTTGGTAGCGGCCCAGACTGCGGCCAGGAGTTTGCGTTGTGTGTTGGAATAGCGAGTTTCCGGGTCAGAGAGGACGCGGCTTGCGTAGGCAATGATATGTGCTTTGTTATGTGGGTCTCGTTGAATGAGTATGGCACCAAGAGATGTGGCGGAAGCGTCACAGTGGATTTCTGTGGGAGCGTCTGGGTCAAATCTTTCAAGGCGAGCTGCCTGAGCAATGGCGTCTTTGAGATCATGGAAGCATTGGGTAGCTTCGGGAGTCCAGTTGAGTCTAACTGCGGGTTTAGGTGGGATTGTGTTGCGGAGAATTTTTTCGTGCTTGGCAAAATTGGTTGGGACGTGCTCGCGGAGGTACGTAGCTAGACCGATAAAGCGTTGGAGTTGGCGTGTAGTTTGGGGTTGAGGGAGATTTTTGATAGCTTCCAAGTGAGATTCGGCCGGATGGGTGCCGGTTTGGTCGATTGTATAACCGAGGAAATCAATTGTTTTAGCAAGGAAGCGTGATTTAGTGATATCTATGACAGCTCCTGTGTTGGAGAGAGTTGTGACGACTTGAGCTAAATTTTTTGTAACTGTTTGGAATGTGGGACCAAAGATGATGATGTCATCAAAATATACGAGACATTTATTGTATAGGTGGTCGCGGAGAATGGTTTCCATTGTGCGTTGGAAAATTGTGGGGCCGGTTTTAAGGCCATAGGGAAGAACTGTGTACTGGAGTTGGCCGAAAGGCGTTGTAAATGCCGTTTTTTGTCTGTCGGCGAGAGCGAGGGGAATGTGGTGAAACCCTGAGTGTAGGTCTAGTGTGCAAAAGTAGGCGTTTTGGCGGCCGAGAGAGTCGAGGAGGTCGTGAATGACCGGCATTGGGTAGTTATCTGGTTTAAGCTGCTTGTTAATTTCCCTGTAATCTTCTACAAGGCGCCTAGGTCTCGTGTGCAAAAGTAGGCGTTTTGGCGGCCGAGAGAGTCGAGGAGGTCGTGAATGACCGGCATTGGGTAGTTATCTGGTTTAAGCTGCTTGTTAATTTCCCTGTAATCTTCTACAAGGCGCCAGCGCTTAATGGCGGGGGCGGTGGGATCTAGACAGTGCTTGGGTGTGAGAAAGGCGGGTGAGCTATATGGGGAGTTTTCGGGCTCGAGAATGCCTGTTAATTTGTAATTTTTGAGAATTTCTTGCATGGGGTTTTGCCGATCGAGAGATTGGCGGAAGTGTTTGGCGATAGGTGCTGAATCTGAGACTGTAGGTAAGTATGCGACATACTGGGGGAAGAGGCCGTGCCGGCCGCTCCATTGGAAGATATTTTCGTGAAATTGTGTGAGTAATGCGGTCATTATGGCGCGATCGGGTGCGGACCCGTCGACATAGGTGATATTCTCGCCTATAGCGCATGTTGGAGATTCGGTGACGGGTTGGATAGAGCGGAATCCAGAGAAGATGAGTGTGCCATCGAGCGTGATAGCTAGGGGGAGGACACTGAGGGTGTCGCAACCGAGGATTATGGGATAGAAAGCTTTGGGGAGGACAAGGAAGGTCGCGGGATATGTATGATTTCGAAAGGTAAACTGAGTACTTACCGATTGGTTGAGCAGCAGCGAGATGTTGGTGACGGCCACTGCGATTGATGCTGCTACGGGGTTCGTAGGGAGCTGGAGCGATTGGGCGACCTCTGCCGCGATGAATGACTTGGAAGCGCCCGTGTCGATGAGGGCGGTGCATTTCTGGTCCTTGATGGAGATGAGAAGGGTTATGCGGTCCTGGGCGGCTTGTGGGGTTGGCACGGTACAGAGAACTGCCGTCACTGCCCGCGAGTCCCGTTTCCCGGCGCCGTGCAATTGGCGGCCACGTGATCTGTTTTACCGCAAATAATACATGACTGTTTTTTAGTTTGGGAAGTTTTGTCACTTGCCGTTGCATCTGGCCGCTGCAGGCAACACTGCTCGGTGGTGTGCGATATGTACTTTTGGTGTTTCTCGCAGAAGTGGGCAGGCGGGGGCTGTCCCGTGTGAATCGAGCACTCTTCCGAAGTGTGGGCTGCCATTCTGTCGTGATGGATGCAGAAATGCATTCGGCGATCGGTGGAACCGGAGGATGAGGAAGCTCCGGAGGCGCTTGATGGACGTTGAGCGTTGGGTTTGCGGATAGGCTGGTTAGCCGTCGGTCCGCGATTTATGATGACCCAAGCATGGGGATGGGTGAGGCGGAACTCGTCCGCGTAAGTACAAAACTGCTTCCAAGTGACGTTGGGTTCTGCAAGAGCCCGGCCTTGCATGTGGGACGCGATTGCCCCTTGAATAGTCGTGAGGAATTGGCCGATAAGCGCGTGCGTGATGAGCGCTTCTTGTGCGGGGAGATTCCCAGGTGGAGCGGGTAGGTATTTCAGGTATGCTTCGCGGAGTCGGCAACCGTAATTCACGTATGTTTCATTGGCGTGCGGAACCAGAGATTGGAAACGTTGAAGGTAATCAAAACGCGATTTGTTGAACTGGGCCCGGAGACTGGCCGCGAGTTCGTGAAATGTAGTTTGGCCCTGCTCATAGAGGAGGGTTGCAGCCTCTGAGACGTCGGGCTGTGTCATGCTGAGAAGGCATGAGACGCGAGATTTTTCAGGAGTGTTTTCCTGAGTAAAAACGTGCAGTGCGCATCTGAGATACGCGTTGACTTCCTTGCCTTGGTGCTGACGGGGAAGGTCTACAGAAGGTGAAGTAGAATGGGATGAGCAAGGTGGAGAAGGGGAAGAAGTGGGTGAGAAATTTAGAAACACCATGTTTGGTGATATACCGCGAGCTTCGAGGACCGAGATGTAGTCCGAGCGGTTGAGGCCAGTGGTAGGCTTAGGAATTTTTTGGGTTTGAAAGTATTGCACAAAAGTCGCTTTTGTAAGGCGCGCCCAGGGAGAGTCTGGTGGGAGAGATTCCTCTTTTGCGTCCTCATGTTCGTTAGCCATGGTTGGTGAGACTAGGGTTGGCTTCCTTTTGACGAGCCCCCAGTGAGAGATCCGCGTCACAGAAAAGTGAGATAACACACAACTCTGGGATTAGAGAACAGAGGGGTTTATTCAGCTTTTCAGAGAGTTAGGATCTTCACAAAATTTATACAAGTAACTGAGTACACTTCGATTCGCGTCGCCGGAGAACGGAGTGTGACAACGATTTCGCAACTAGAGATGTTCGCGGTCTGAGCGCTCACAAGAGAGTGAAGCTGCTCTGGCTGGCTGGCTGGCTTCTGCTAGCTGGCGGCCATTACGGTCGAGGACGCGAGAGCGCGCCAAGAAGAGAATGGTGTGCGCGCGGCGACATAGATGTCGCCGGCGCTTACTTAGAGTGAAGCTGCTCTGGCTGGCTGGCTGGCTTCTGCTAGCTGGCGGCCATTACGGTCGAGGACGCGAGAGGGCGCCAAGAAGAGAATGGTGTGCGCGCGGCGACATAGATGTCGCCGGCGCTTACTATATCATTAAAGAAATAAAATTAAATTGTACTCACTCACAAGAGCAGTTCACAGCTGCTATTCCATAATCAATCCAAAATTCAGGGGCAAAGTTTACGGCAACATTCCAGTTGAAACCTGTGTTGAAGCCACCATGATGTCCCTTAGGAAATGTTACTATCATTTCCCAAGGTTCCTGGACAGCAATTACAGGTTTGATCCCGTATTTGTGCAGGAAACCCTCCGCAAATAAGAAGTGCTTGTGTCTTGCTGGCACATCACAAGCACCTGCACCAAGATGAAGTTTCAGTACTGCTTTGTACTGCGCCAAGTGTTCCATTGGAATCCCGTACCTATTGTACAAAATGATATGTTTAAAGTTATACTATTTACTAACTTTAGGTAACTCACCAAATTTTTGGGTAACCTCCGAGGCTTAGGTTTATCAAAACCAAGTCCATGTCTTCAGAATGCATGGCAAATGCTGTACCCCTGGCTCCCAAGAAGTAGAATGGTGACGTTATCCCTGGGAACCACGTTCTTCCTTTCAATGAAGTCAGCAAAAGTGGGAGTTGGTTTCCGTGCATTACAGAAAGATCCATTATCCCTGGGAACCACGTTCTTCCTTTCAATGAAGTCAGCAAAAGTGGGAGTCGGTTTCCGTGCATTACAGAAAGATCCACCTTGTACCTATCCTATAATGAATATGAAAATAAAAATTTTAATGAAATTCCGGAATATATACACCATAACATTTACGTTTATCAAGTAACATTTTAATTTATTGTCAATATGTTGCCACCTAATTGGCTTTTGCCAATGACACATCGGCTGTGCAAGGAAGACTGCAATTCAACATTGGCAAAATGTGGTCTTGCATAAAGAATAAAAAAAATGCACGTGATGCATTGAAGACACCACATTGGCATTTAATTTTACCTGCACTTATACATTATAAATATTTGAAATATACCGATAATTATAATAATTTCAGGTTACTGATTTGTGTTGTGTAAAAGGAACTACCTGCGTAATAACTTAATAAATTACATTCCTTAACTTAACTTAATGTTAAAGGCTTTTTTCAATTGCTCAATGCACTTACTTTCTTGCCTCAAACTTTTCAAAAGGAATATACTTTTTTATTTCCAAGTATTCAGGGTAAAGCAAAGTTGTCCCATTTCCAAGTAGAACACTCTTCTACAAGAAACATCAAGTAAACAGGGATAGTCACGCACCCAGTCACTCTCCCTGCATGAATCCAAAATCCCAAGCAACTCAGTTACTGTAAATCACCCATTACCTTACTCGCAACTTGGGCAAAAGACCAAATTTCTGTGAATCACCAACACACACATTCTCTCAAAATATCTGCCCTTTTACGTAAAAACGTATTCAGTCTAGCATTGGGTGCCACACTGCCTGTGTCACACTTGCTGCAGAATATTTCCAAAGTCAAAAATGGTGAAAAATATTTTGCTTTCCCAAATGCAACAGGAAGAAGTGTGTGCGTATAGACAAAAATACCCGAAAGTTAGCTTACTGCAAATGTCCAGGCACTTTTCAGTGGTGTGGAAAACAAGTGTCTTACTGAAAAGCATTGAAGGACATTTTGGGTGATGAAGAGAAGAGGAAAGAATGTTTAGCGAAAGTTAATGCTTGTGAAAAACGCCAAGAAGTCGAGGAGCACTTGAACACCTGGATAAAACATGTCTTTGATAAGCATGAATTCATAAGTGACTCTGTCATACTGGAACAGGCGAAGAAAATGTGTGAAGATAGGAACATAGAAAGAGATACATTTAATATTTCCTGGTTGACAAAGTACAAGAAACAGAACGGTATTTCAGTTCGGAAGAGAAAGCAATCATCCTCAGAAGTACACATGCAAACTGTGTCAGAAGGGTGCAGAGTTCTTAGTGAAAAGATGTCCTCATACGATTTGGAAAATATCTACAATGTTGACGAAAGTTGCCTGTACTACAGATTGCGGGATGAAAATTACAAGCAAGGAAGAAGGTGTTTAAAATGTCTGGAAAATAAAAAAAATTGTAATTGAAGGAAAGACAGTCTGAAAGAAGGATATACTTGCCCGTAAAAAAAAGACTCACTATTGTCTTTTGTACAAATGCTGATGGAAGTGACAAGAGAAAACTAGCAGTTATCAGGCAAGGAGGAGATGTGAAATCCATGAAAATATTCAAGCACAACCATTACATAAATTGGATATGTAACAAGAAAGGTTGGACAACACTTGTAGCCTTCAGAACGTGGATGTCCAATTTTAATGAAGCAATGGCAAAGGAGAACAGACATGTACTGCTTTTAATGGACAATGCTCCTTATCATAAAAGGGGTAAAAGCTTAAGCATGTACAAATTGAGTTCCTGCCACCATATTGCACAGGAATGCTGCAACCCCTCAATGTAGGAATAATAAATATATTCAAGTCAAACTACGAGCAGAATGAAGTTGCTCACATTGTCAAGTGTTTGAATAATGAAGATGCAGCAAGTATATCATTCAAGGATGCGCTACGTTTGATTTTCAAATCTTGGAATGAAGTTACGCCTGCTGTTATACGCAAGTCTTGGGAAGAAACCTGTCTGATCCAAGAATTTATCAAAAAAAAAGCAAGCCCATTTATGTCTGCAAAAGAAGCTAAGACCTGCATATCTCGGTTACGGATTTTTTTGGAAAATGAGTGTAGAGACTCTTCAATAATGAATAATGTTAATGCCATTAGTATGTGGGTTAACAAATTTGCGGAACGGAGGAAATAACAATCATTAATAACTGATTATTTTCAACCACTTGTAAGTATATATTAAAAAACACTTTGAATAGTTATGTTCATACCATCATGTCATTGTTGACAGGATAACTGTTGACGGGAAGGATGCATTTCAAGAATGTTAACATAAATTTCTTAACATCGCATTTGGAACACATTGCATTTTGGCATGATTCAACATAAAAACGGCATTACACGGTGAGTAAGAGGTGTTGCAAGTGGTTCATTATAATTCATACAACATTCATTTCACTTGCAGGTGTGCTCAAGAGGATTGATATGGGAATGAAGGTGTCTACGGATAATTGCATAAAGGTTTTGGACCTGATTTTCTGTATGTTTCTTTTTGTTACTGTATTATGTTCTTAATTATTTCTTTTTGTACTTATTAATAAATCATGTTCAATAAATCATGTCTGTACACATTTTTTTATGTTTTTCTTCTAAATACTTGAATCAAGTAACATGTACTTAGTTTAAATTGTTGATATGTTATACATCATATAATATAATCACTAAATACGTTTCAACATTGAATAGAAATTATTCAAGTAAACATAAAATCATGTAATATATAATAGAAAATATATTAGAAAATGTCAAACCCCCCCTTTAATGTTACCATTAGTAATTTGTACTTTGTTAGTATAAATTTGTTTAAAGAATATTTGCAAAAATTTCTGACTGTAATTTAAAGAAAATCAGCGCTTGAGAACATCGGGTACATTTCTGTATAGGATATAGTAACCGATGTGTTGTCAGATTAGTTCATGTACTGGGTATTTCATGTATGTATTCTGTTATGAACTGTATGTTGTTTGTTGATTTAAGTATTCCTAAAATCATTAATACTAATACACATTACACAACCCCCTCGTCCATTAACCGTTATTATTCATTAATTTGACAGTATTTTGTTCATTATAGACCATCAGCGAAAATTCGGAATGTAATTTTGACAACATTGGCGTTTTACAGTTGTACAAATAATAAAAGCGGGTATGTTTCAGCCTGTGATTTTGTAACCAATGAGCCGTCGGATTAATTTACACACACTATAAATAATGTACTGCTTATATGGACTTGTTACATTACTATGGCAAATGCATGCTACCCGTGACTGTATGCTGTCACTCAATATTTAACAAAAATGAGAATAATGGGAATTAATACTAATGGATACATGAAGTATAAGAATTGTTTCATTAATGCATTACGGTTTAAATGCAATGAACAGAACTCACTTTTTCATCAGGAACATTCTCTTGCTCCTTCATCTTTGAAATTCACCTTTTGACAACTTCCTCAGGTTCCTCAATGTGTAGTTCTGTTATGTAAGGCAATTCCTCCATTACACCTTCTGCTTCAAGTTGTAGTAGCTTCTCCCAGAAATCATTCCTGTACTTCTCGATTTCATTTGGTGTCAACTTCACAGAAGTGCATGATGATGATTGCGCTTGAACAGGAGGAAGTACGGGAGGATCACCAGCATTATTACACTCTACCAAATTCTTCGGATGCATGGCGTTCATCTCCTTCACTTTCATAAAATGTTGTAAAGGAGTCGCCATGTCCTTTGTCGTATTTCTCGATTTATTCACAACGCCGAATACACCACTACTTTTCAGCTTTGTAACTTGCTGATCACTCACACTTTGTAGTTTAACTTTACTAAACTTTGCCCACAGTGTATCATCACTGACAGACCAAGTCACTTTTCCTTCTCCATTCGGATCAAGGAGACGAATGAGGTCAGGCTGGCATTGCAGTTTTACAATACCAGCCTTCCATCAACCTGCCTTCTTCAAGTAAATGTACTTTATGTATTCATCAAAATTATTCCACATGCTAGCATCCAATGGGTAAGTAGGACAATAGCGATATGGATAATTTGTCTGAGACATAATTATGTCCATGTTTTACTTTCAGCAGTTTGTATGTGCCTGCAAGTTTATAAATATATACATATATTCATCAAAAGTTTATTAATAATTTTGGAACATATTGGAAACACACACACACGTTGTCATTGCCAAAGCTTTCATTAACTAATACAGCACACAGCAGTCATGCTGAAAAAAAGGAGCAAATGCACTGATTGACAAGCGCCAGGAGAACGTGAAGAACTTTGCCCACATGAGAAATTCCATGGTCAAAGCTCTCCAAGTTCAATGGCACAAAGTCACACACGTATACTACAAATACAAGTACAAATCAACATATGTCTGAAACACCACACACGTTCTTATAATTCAAACAGAATCATTGTGCTAATATACATTGAACAAAACTTTCACTTATAACTCCGACACCACAGGCAACAAACCATGAGATAAGCAGCAGCAGCACTGCGCTGATTGACCAGCGCCAGGAGAACGTGAAGAACTTTGCCAACATAAGTTCCATGGCCAAAGCTCTCCAAGTTCCATGGCACAAAGTCACACACACGTAAACAATTCCAAATACACATAGGTCTGAAACACAATGCACGTATTTATAATTAAAACACAATCATTGTGCTAATATACATTGCACAAAACTTTCACTTATAACTCCGACACCAACGGCGACAAAGCATATGAGAGAAGCAGCAGCAGCACTGCGCTGATTGACAAGCGCCAGGAGAACGTGAAGAACTTTGCCCACATGAGAAATTCCATGGCCAAAGCTCTCCAAGTTCCATGGCACAAAGTCACACACGTATACAACTCAATATCCACATAACAATTTTTATTAAATCATACTTTAAAACTCAAAAATGAGAATTACAATTTTTGATTAAATCATACTTTAAAACTCAAAAATGAAAACGCACTGTATGCAATACAAATACAGCGGAGCTGCGCGCCCAGGAAAATGCCAACGGAAATCCTTTGAGCGCTGAATTCAGGCGCGGCGCCATCTTACATTAAGAGGTACAATCCTCAGTCACAGATAAAACACATTTCTGATGCGGTATACAGTATATATTGGCAAGTAATAATGACGTTTTCTATTCATTACTTTTATATACGCGTTGTATGTCATTACTGTATAATTCCTTTCTTTTGTCCATTTCCTTATGTCATTAACTAAAAGGATGTGGGTGTTACCGACAAGGATTCAGCAATAAATTATTTACCGGATCAAATGTCAGCAATAACAAAAAATACAACCTACACAAAAACATGACACCCACATCTTTATTTTCCACATCAATATGCGTTTGGCCGTGTATTACATGAATCGATACTATATGAATCTTTTCAGCAGTGGAATGACTAACTTGGACTATTCTCCATGGGCCTGTCGGATTAACAGTATATATTGCCATTGTACATCGGCTAAACAAGATGCATCAACATTGTCCATCGGCATAACATACTAAATCGCCGTTGTACAACTGAAAAGTCACACAAAATCAATAATTTAATTAGAATAACAGAATAATTTTAAGTAGACTTGACTATTATGAATCTACATACATAAATGATTATAATATACCAATAAACACAATTCATCCAATTTTGATTCAGCTCAAAAGTAGATATAACTGCCCTAACAAAACAAAAATTACTGTGACAACTCCATTGCCACATCAGCACATATCACCCGACGGCAGAAGCACCCAAGTATCTAGCTAACAGCCAGTTGCCATTGTAAATCGGCTACACTACATTCTTTGACAATGTCCATTGGGGTAACATACTGCATCGCCGTTGTACATTGGCAAACATACTGAATTGCCGTTGTACATTGGCAAATACACACAAATTCAATAATTGAATAAGAATTCAGGGCCGGCCCAAGCCTGCATGGCGCCCGTGTGCAAACCCTTACTTGGCGCCCCTATACATGAAAAACTGCAATCAGAGAATATACACAGTAAAAAGGGTTCCCTGTCTAATATTTAGTTTTAAAAATGTAGATGTGGATTTTGATTGGATAAAACATGTTTATTCTTTGTACATTTTATGAAATGAAAACTTATTCAACAGAAAAAACCATGGTTCAATACAAATGTCGCAGAATCTCCATGAGGAAATACCAACACCAAAATAAGGGTTACTGAAAACATTTTGTATGTCTAGAATAACACTTTCCTGGCTTTTGCACTAGCAAACCTTGAGATGATACCATTTATTTCTATAGTTCTTCAAGTTCATCATGCTCAATTGAAATCCTTAATAAATTTGACAATTTTCCCAGACTCATTCTTGATCTCTATGATTTTCAATTTTGAAAACAACTTCTTTCTGAAGATGCAACAGTTACTTGCAGAATCAAGAAGTTTCTGATTAAAATTGCAGTATTATAATAGGAAATGAATCAATAAGATTTTTATTGTAAAGGAAATTCAGTACTAGTTTTGCTGACATTTTTTCTCCAAAAAACTTTTCAATGTTTTCA